TTTTTTTTTTTTTTTTTTTTTTTTTTTTTTTTTTTACGTTTCTATTTCCCTTACCTCTGTCTAATTTGTCGTTGGACGCAGATTGGACGAAACAGTTTATACGCTTATCGCGAAACTTTTAACCCTTGACTGGATTGGATTCGTCACCAAGAATAAATATTAACCCTTTTTCGCTCGACCGAACCAACAACTCGAGACGATTTTCCGTTCGGTGAATTTCTTCCAGCTAATTTAAAACGATTTCACGCACAAGTTAACGAAATATAAAACTTTTATATTTTAATATTTTATGTATGTCTTTACAGATATAAAGAAAGAAATGTTTTTGAACGTGTTGTTTTGCGCGATATTTTATAAAGCAATCGCCAAGATGCATCCTTGGTTTGTCAGAGCAAGTATCACAGTGAAATATCGTACGATGTCTTTTTTATTTCGTTGAGCAAACCTTCTAATTCTTTTAACTCCCGTTAAAAATATAAAGTGGGCTCATATTCACTTTCGTCGTTATTCTTATTATTCGTCCTTTTATCTCTTATACTTCACTGCTTTCCTTCTCTCTATCGTCAATTTCTTTACGAATAAAACTAATTTCATCGTTCAATAACGGAAAATCAAACTCATTTTCAATCGAACTCATCTTCGATCATTCCACGCTTATAAAACTCAAAAACTTTTGAAATTAATAATTCGAGATAAGAAAAATACCTATTCAATATATTATTCTACACTTTATAATATTATATGTAAAAAGCTTAGGAATCTGTTCACGATACGTTTCTAAAAAAAAACCAATCATAAATAAATATTGTCGCCGTTCGATTTTTCGAATGCTCGAGAGTCATCATTCGAGCGCAAAGGGTTAATGGAATATATTCTTATTCTCCAAAAATAAATTAATTTTCGTTTATTTTTCTCGTTTTCGTTAATTTATAGATTTGGACGTAGATTGAAGTTTCTGCGTTTATCCGCGAAATTTTCAATCCTCTCTCTCTCTCTTTCTCTCTCCCCCCCTGTTTCTGGACAGAGCTGGCCAGTATCCATCGCGAAGGGCAACTGTTTTAATAAATATTTATTCGAATTAAGGTTTTATTTGCATGTAAATAACGGAGGGGAAACGAGGTGCGTTCACCCGGATGAAATAAGACCGCGAGCGAAACGTCGGCCACGAATAAATGTTTAATTGGTGGATTCATAAACTTTTGCTCGCGGCTAGACGAACCTTGTTTCTTTAATTCTTCGGGAACACATAGCGGACGAGAGGTTGTTTCGTTCGATAAACGGCGCTGTGAACGTAATAGGATCAACTTCGTTCCTACCACCTCAATTACTCGAGAAATTAAACGAGCAACTCGTTGAACGGAATATCGAGTTCTCGCATCGCAGATGAGAGGTAAGTAGCTGGAATAAAATAACCGTGAAACATGCCCACTTTGAGATATAACGATACGGCAATTCGTTTCTTTTTCCTCTTTTTTTCTTTTTTTTTTTTTTTTTTTTTTTCCCTCGTATCATATCGCTGGACTTGTTATTTAAATGTAGTTATATACCTCCCTTTTTCAAGATTTTTAATTGCGGATATACGCGTTTCACCAATTTCAATTTTCAACCTTTTTAACCTCGAAAAGTTCAAACATTCGTGCGACGAATATCAAGCAAGAAATCTACGGTTTCTAAATTCGTGGGCAACTAAATTCGGGATCTCAACAACATCCGCTTTTTCGTCCTTTCAAACAATCTTTTAAATCAAACAAAGGTAAAGTAAAGGGAATATCTAAAGGCAGCTCGTTCGTAACATTTACAATTTCCACGAACTCTTTCTCCTCGGGAATTTTCTGAGCTCAACTTTCTGATCAGCTTCCACCGCGTCCACCCATTCAACGTAAATTCACTTCCAACCCCTGCAGTGATGAACACGAGTTATCCCCGCGACGACGGTTCAACGATCCACCATTTAAATTATTCGAAAGAATGATAATTAATGTATCGAATTCGGTCTCGTTTCGCGCAACCTACACCGCGGATAAAGCTCGCGATAATGAGGAAACGAGAAAGCTTGTAACAAAGTATAATCGGCCGATATTATCGCCCCATTAATGGCCGTTCTACGCGTACGATTCCACAAACGAAACCACGGCTTATTTCCACGAAATACGCGTTAATTTGTCGACAGGCTTTCAGGCCTGAGTTCAAACAGGTACCGAGTTCAAACAGTTTGGTTTCCAGAACGATCGTAGGAAAATGTCCCTGACATTCTTTTTTTGCCCGCCCCTAGCGCGAGAAATATTTTCTTCGACGGTGAATCGTCGCCTGGAGACCCGGCCAAGGTGCTAATTAGAGAGAGATTCTCGGATACCGGCGCGGAAACCACGCGTTTAAGCGGCGCCACCCACCCGTCACTCACCCCATACCCTACGATTTCTTTTGACGAGGAAAACGACTCTCCCTTGTTAATGACGTTGAACGAGTTCCGCCTTCGAAGCATTAAGGGAGCCAACCAGGTGCTCCTTCGTCCCTCTTCGTTACCCTCGAGCGTAATCTCTCTCTTTCCCTCCCTCCCCTCCCTCGATAACTGGTCTAAAATCTACCAAACTTTTCAACAGATTCCCTTGTTTATCCCGGTTCGAGATTCCATCGCCCCTCTTCCCCTTTTTGACTCCATTAAAAACCCATCAGAAGGATATAAATATTAATTTCCCGTTGGCTCGGGAAATTACCATTGTCACGGCCCTCACGGATCAATCTTCCTTCCACGATTCACCGTTTTTCCCACGCGAGCGGGATTTATCACGCTATCGCCCCGTCAAACGGGGAGAATTTAAAATTACACCCTCCCCCCCGTTTCGTACGTAATTTCGTAGGATCGATCGATGGAGAGGGGAATTGTAAGCGGAAGGGAAGGGGAAAAGGAGAAAGGATGGAAATTTCCGAAGGAAGAGAAGAACTGGAACTGGAAAAGGACGAGGGCGTTGAATAATTCGCGTGGCGGGATATCTGGATACTGGGGGAAGTAGGAAGTACATCCGCGTTCCCTGTTTGTCGCTTATACACGCTTCGAGATTATCGCTCGCGCGAGTAACCCGCGGGGCGTATAATGCACATGTATATGCACGGGTATGCATGGGTGTGCACGAGGCAAGATAATTGCCAAATGCCGTGACAACGCGTACACAGGCTTGGGTATAGTTTGACACCGTG